AGCACACACACACTGGCACACACACACACACACACACACACACACACACACAGGCACAGGCAGATCAAAGCGCCATTGGGTATTACTCTACCTCTGTGCTATGGGTTGGTGTTTGTCCTATTAAAATAGAAATCCACTTGTGAAGACTACCGAGTGCACAGATCAATCTTAAGGACGAACATTTACAGGGGTTGGTGATCTGAACAAACCCCTAACCACGTATTAAACGGGTGGTGTAATACTCCCATTTGTGCTATGAGCATGAATACTGTCATCTTGTCGAGGAGAGGTGCATTATTACGGTACATTAACATGGGGCGTCGGCGTTAACGCTTCTCATTTACTTTGAATGGGTGACGTCACGCGTTGCTGAACTGAATTGTGGGTCCGTCGGTGTCGCGTCACTGGCGTTGCTCACGGCAGAAGCTGAAAATTTCTCAACATTTCAAGTGCCAACTGAGGCGTCAGCCAATCAGATCGCCTTATGCAAATAGCCTAGCTCAGGCGCTAACTAATTGTGGTCCAATGTAATTGGCTGTTGTCACTATGACGATCACGTCAGCGCCAAGCTTCAGACACGCCCTCCGTCAAGCGTTGACGCCGACGCCCCGTGTGAATGTACCGTTACTTTTCAAAGTGATTGTACTTATGATTTTCGACTTGTAGGCGAAAAAATTCAATATACTTATACTGAAGGAGAGACCAGAGCCATATCTAGAGTCCAGAATATCATAAGAGACTTTTCTTTTTCAATGATCTAGCCACTATCTAGCGACTTCATAGAAAACACGTAGAACTTTGTTACGTATTTTGAGTAAACCCCGTCAATGCTTTCTTTTGACACATGAACACTTGCACTCTCAGATGAGCTCTTGGCCTCATTGTGAGTTTAATGGAATACTGATGATTTCAGGAAAAGTGATCGGTTGATCTTGACACTCAAACATAGCATAGAGTTGAACTACATAAAATGTTATTGCATACAAATCTCTCATTCCCCTTTCAACCATGAAGGTCTGTGGGTTCAACTGAGGTTTTTAGAAAAGTACTCAGTTAACATGCAAGAAGAATCATACACTCTGCCAACAACAAGTGAGCGATACGTTCAAAAGCAAAATTTAAATAACATTAACAAAGTTTGGACTAATCTCATGGCCTCCAAATATAGAGTAACCCGCCCCACGCACCCCTTGAGAATCGTGAACTCAAGCTAATTACCTTCTTCAATATTTGCATTTTGTTTGCACAATATTTAAATAATCTTGCTATTTAAAAACCTGCCTGCCCTTTGCAGTAAAAACAGGCAGCAGAATGTACCGTTACTTTTCAAAGTGATTGTACTTATGATTTTCGACTTGTAGGCGAAAAAATTCAATATACTTATACTGAAGGAGAGACCAGAGCCATATCTAGAGTCCAGAATATCATAAGAGACTTTTCTTTTTCAATGATCTAGCCACTATCTAGCGACTTCATAGAAAACACGTAGAACTTTGTTACGTATTTTGAGTAAACCCCGTCAATGCTTTCTTTTGACACATGAACACTTGCACTCTCAGATGAGCTCTTGGCCTCATTGTGAGTTTAATGGAATACTGATGATTTCAGGAAAAGTGATCGGTTGATCTTGACACTCAAACATAGCATAGAGTTGAACTACATAAAATGTTATTGCATAAAAATCTCTCATTCCCCTTTCAACCATGAAGTGTCTGTGGGTTCAACTGAGGTTTTTAGAAAAGTACTCAGTTAACATGCAAGAAGAATCATACACTCTGCCAACAACAAGTGAGCGATACGTTCAAAAGCAAAATTTAAATAACATTAACAAAGTTTGGACTAATCTCATGGCCTCCAAATATAGAGTAACCCGCCCCACGTACCCCTTGAGAATCGTGAACTCAAGCTAATTACCTTCTTCAATATTTGCATTTTGTTTGCACAATATTTAAATAATTTTGCTATTTAAAAACCTGCCTGCCCTTTGCAGTAAAAACAGGCAGCAGTTTCTTTTTGTTAAAAGCTTTGACCTTTACGAAAATGAGGGAGGTGGGGATGAGAAAGAAGGAGAGGAAGGAAACAAAAGCAAGTATGAGGCAGAAACAATATGAACTAAAGCTGTATTTGTTTGGTGAATCAATGTTTAAAGGCATGACCCAAAATAAATGCCAAATGTGAGAAAAAGTGGTTTTGGTAAATAAATTGATAGAATTTACTTGGTGACTGATTGGTAACTGTTTACCAATTGCACTTATTATTTCATTTTATTTTCTTTATTTTTTTTGAGGGACAAAATCATGATGTGCCCATGATGAGTAATTTTTATAGGAACAAAAAATATAAATATCACTTTTTATTTGATCAAACATACAGTAAAAAAAAAAACAATATTAATAATGTTATTACCATTTAAAATAAATAAATAAAAATAAAATATCATTTATTACTGAGATGGTTTGAGTGTAACTGTCTGCCGAACACTTTTAAACGTGACAGGGATGAAAATCTCTCTCCCTCTTCTACTCCTCCTTCACTGACTCACTCTCACCAAGCATTAAAGTTCACTGATGGATGGCGTTTGTGTGTGCTATCATAAAAACAAACACTTAATTCTGCATTGTCATCTTCAACTGTCTGCCAGATTCTGTCTGCCAAAATAACACCCATCAATAATGCCTCGATACATCTTGTTTTGCTGATAACAAACACACACAGGCATACTATGAGCTTGGAAGAGAGTTGAGAACATTCTATAAAGACTATAACTTCTTACTTGCAGCTAACTCCTGGTGAGATTAATTCACGTAGTCATGATAAATTAATATTGTTTATGACACTTCAATCTAAGGTCAGCTTTTCTCAGCAAGAAAATGATTTGTTGTCAAATCAGAATATCTTATTTATTTATTAACTGAAATACATACAATTCGTGGTCAAATATTCTCAAGTTAAGACCATGATATAGTCGGATAAAATAATTTTTAGTGTAAAGATCTTTGAAAAAGGTACAAGACTGTGCATTTTTAATGAGGAAAAGAACTCCAATCCCATGAAGCATGACATAATGGAATTGAAAATGATGGAGAAATTTAAACTATTGATTTCAAGTTGTAAATTATATATAAAGAACCAACATATTTTAAGCTTATTGCAAAATATACACATATACAGAAGTATTTATTTATTTTGCGAGTGTAGGAAGCCCTCTTTGGTACAATTTGCTAGTTGCAATTCTCTGATTGGTGGAGATTTCCTTGCAGAATCATGGGTAATGTAGTTTAGCCAGGAATTGGTCTGTTAAACACGACTTCTTAAAAAATAAGCTGAAATAATGCAGGCTGATTGCTTCAACAAAAGAATATATGTATTATCGGTTAACAACCTCGTTACTCACAGTTTATGAGTTTTTGTTAAAAATCAACTTCAAAATCAAATGGGATTTTTCCTTTCGGCGCTCTATATAAAGTGATCATTCACATGCCATTTTCACCTAACCCTAACTAAAAGTGCCTGTGAAGCAAATATTGCAGCATCTTGTGTTCTCCAGACAAACAACAGCCATTGAGACGAATGGATCACTTTCTTTGGGCATTAGAAACACCCGCTGCATCTCTGGCTTTCTAATCTAAAACCCAAGATTCCTTCAAACGAACGGAATTATGTGACTATAAGTGTTTATGAGGGATAAAACCACTTCCGACAGCAACTAAACTAATTACTCATGAGAAAATGCACAAAACTGAAAGCAATATCTGCTAAAAAAAATGCTGTTATCAGGGGACATTTATGAACCAGAATATTCCATTTCAAATCCAATCTCAATTGTTGCAGCTAGAGGAAAATGAGGCTTTTCGTCGTTTTAAGAATGCACAATGGCACAGAATTGCTGTGACACCTCATGCAACTTGCATGAATAAACATCTCGGGGAAAATCACACCGCTGTGTGCTGTTATGCGACGCTGTTGGGCTTTCGCGTGTACATTTTGTTCATTAATTTAGCTAATTTGTACAATATCACTGAGAAAACAAATATAATTCCTGCATTGACACAGCTGTCAATTGATAAAGCCACATCCATCCATCAATCCATCCATGCATCTGTTTCTGTAATCATATCTCCACCTGTTCCCGGCGCGTGTGAGCGTGTTATATTTTTTTGGGGTGCTCGCTGACAGTGACGGCTTCAGAAATGATGAAATGCAAAGAAACACGAGCGACAGACACAGAGAGATATGTTAGTTGTGCTTATTCATTCACTAGCAAACCCAGGGAATTCGTACCATCAGAGAGAAACATCGACACAGGGAGAGAGGCGAGATGACAGGTAAACAGGAGAGATGACTGTGGCATATCTACGGAAACTTCACTCCGTGCTGCGGTAAATATTCGCGGGGAAACAAACAGTCTAGGAACATGAGCGTGACAGTATTAAAGAAAACAGCAGACGACTTGATTTGCATCCAGAGCTGTGTCTTCCCTTCAGTTTCGAAACAAAAGAGGGCGGCCGAGTTACGCAATGCACGCGTCCGCGCAAATCCGCAGTGATGAGTGTTTTCACAACGCTGGCTGACAGGCCTTTGAACCGCGGGAATCCGCTGACATGTGAAATGCGCCGTCTCACACATGCATGCTAACAAGCAGCCCCTGATGCACTGGCACAGTTGATTATACCGCAAACATGGAGTTAGATTTTAGTGCACGAACGTGTGAACTGGGAAGAAGGTGGTGATGAATAAATCCTTTTACAAGCAGGTAAAACAGCGGAGAATACACTTGCAGACATGATTAATTTAACAATGTATTCACTTCGAGATGCTTCAGCTCAAGATCATTTCACAAACACACTTATGAGTGCCAGAAGTAGAGTGCAGAGTAACCCGAGGAAAAATTGGATTGTTACACTTGCTGTAGAATATGTGAGAGGTATTTGCCAGTGCAAAATTCACCACCACTCAGTGTTTTTTAAAGCACTTTTAAAGTGGCTGCTAGGGTGTATTGGGTGGTTGGTAGGACGTTGTGAGACAGCTGCTAGGGTCTTCTTGGCTGTTCTGTGCAAAACTTGCCACTACAATGCAAAGGTGTTGTGGGACATTGCTAAGGCATTGCAATGTGGTTCTTAAGCCCCGTTCACACCAAGAACGATAACTATAAAGATAACTATAAAGATAACAATATTAGCATCCACACCAGCGAACAATATCGTCTGCTTATTCTAATCGCACGCTCGTCTGCCGCTTTAAATTCTCGAGCTCGTTACAGCAGGATGGATTCTGATTGGCTGTCAATTTTTAATCATTCATCAGCTGGAAAAAAAATCGTTTTGAAAGTGATTCCTACGATAGCGTTTCTCTTTGTCTTTATCGTTATAGTTGTGGTGTGGACTCTGCTATTCTTTAATATTGAGAACGATTTTTAGAACTATATTTTTATCGTTATCTTTATAATTATCGTCCTTGGTGTGAACGGGCCTTTAAGGTGTTTCTTTTAGCATTTATGGGAGGTTGATATGGCACTGGTAGATGGTTGCCAGGGTGGTAGGACATTATGAGGCCTTGTCCACACTATAATATGTTTTCGTTTGAAAACGCACATTTTTCTGTCCGTTTTGGCCTTCCATCCACACTGAGATGGCATTTTTGTGAAGGAAAACTGAGCTTTTTGAAAACGCTCTCCAAAGTGGATAAATTTGAAAACGCCGTTTTCGCATTGTAATGTGGACTGTGAAAATAGAGGCTTTCGAAAACGATGACGCATGTTTAGTCATGTGACGTCTATTGTACCAATAGACATCTATGTTTATACCGGTATTGTGCTACTTTCACAAGACTACGTTTACATGCGCACGAATAATGCGATTATTTCCAGTAATCAGAGTAAGGACTTAATCGCATTATGATGTTTACATGCCTGTATATTTCGATTAAAATCGGCGTACGCCACCTATGTTAATACGATTATGCTTGCTGCGATTATGAGCATGCGACTTAATCGCATTATTTAGATCGAAGTATTGCGTTTACATGAGGTAAAGTTTAATCGCAATATTTCCAAAATCTCATTATAATCGCATTAAGAGGGTGCATGTAAATGCACTAATTGTTTCTAAAGATATGTTACTTTGTACACTCTTCGTATTACAGTCCTGCAAAGATGACAGAAAATTTACTCACAATTGCTATCCTGTGGCAAAACATATCAGATTAAACATATAATAGTGAGTGAGTGCGTGCTGGACGCCAGTGAATGGTGGGATATTTTCATAAATAAAATGATTCTGCCAGAAGAACTACGTGAAAACTTATGTCTATTCTGTCTGTACCATCTCAGTGAACTTTTTATGACGTTTTACACATGCACGGTAAGGTGAATTTAACGTTTTCCCGACGTTTCAGTGTGGATGAGAAACTTTTGGAAAATGCTTGAAAATGCAAGTGTGGACGGAGAGTGTTTTGAAATGAAAACCCTGTTTTCAAATGTATCCTCATTAATGTAGACGTAGCCCAGGGTATTGTGGTTGGGGTTTCTATGGTGTTTTGTTTTGCTAATGTAATAGTAGTGTACACCACTGCATATTTCGGATGTGTTGGATGTGTTATCGGACACACTCAATTTAGCTCTTGCAGTCTCTACTTATGAGCTGAAGTGTTGAATCAAGTGTGTTAAATGATGGAGACATTCAAAATGTGCTCTTTTGCGGGGCTACAGGACCAGTTTTGCAAGCACTGTTCTGATTGGCTTAGGTGCTTGTTCACCAGTCCACATCAAGGAGTTTAAACCCAAATTTCTACAAGAGGGTTGCTAACCCTGCTCCTTGAGGGCTATCTTCCTGTAGACTTGAAGTTTAACCCTGTCCAACACACCTTGCTGTGATTTCATGTAATCCTGAACAACTTGATTAACTGGTTTAGTTGTATTTGTATTTGATTAGGGTTGGAGTTAAACTCAGCAGTATGGTAGCCCTACAGGAACAGTGCTGGCTACCCCTGCTCTAGAATATTCTTGTCTCTAGATACAGCTCTGGACCTTTCTTCCATGTCTATGAGATTGTTTGACACTGTCTGCCAAACAAAATTGTCCAATTGCTTCGAAAAAACCAATAGCAAAGACTGCATGATTTTACTTAGCAATAATAAAAGAAAGGTTTGACTCAAAAGAAACATATTGATAGCCCTTATATACTGAAGTTACATAAATGTCATATAAAAGATTTTTGACTTTTATACTCTAAGCAACCATAAACAGCCTGCAGTTAGGCTAATGAGCTATATTACTTAATGAAAGAATTTTAGGAAAATTGGTATTTTATCAGATTTTTTTTTTGCAGTTTTATAAAAGCAATAAGCCATTTCTGCTTCACATTTTGCCTAACAACACTTCATAACTGTGGCAAAATCACTAAAACACAGCCTCTTGTGGCTAGTTGCTTTATTTCAGTAGATTTAAACATTTCTCTTTGGACATCCAAACTCCACCATTTGGAGAGTCAAACAAACAGAGTCAAAACATACAGAGAGAAATGAAAGATAACCGCACTAACCATTCTCTTTGCATTCTTCAGGGGGCTTCGCTTTCTTCGCAAGCCGGGGGTCCAACCAGGACGTCGTCTTCGTATTGTGGCTGGAGAGGAGAGAAATGGAGCAGAAAAGGAAAAGAGATGAAGAAAAGAGAGAGATGAGAGTGCTGCAAACTGCTACTGTAAATCATCATGCTGAGGAGACGAGAGAGACTGAAAGGAAGTCTCTGGAGATCTCATCTCTAAACGAGGGTGAGAAAAAAAGTTTAGCTTAACAAAATGGCAATCGATACTTTTAATTAGCTGTAAGCTTCTCATTAGCACAGCAAGAAAAAGAGGAGGAGGAGAGAGATGGCGAGGAAGATGTAAGTGACTTATTGTATAAGGGAGGAGAACCGAACATGAGCGGCGATTTTACTTAACTGTTTAGTACACAGTGCTTTTTTCCTCACAATTTTGTCATCTGAGACCAATTTCAGCAGTCATAATAAAGATTTCTTTTGAAAGATTTGGCAAAATTGGCAGATTTTGGTGGCTTAGTGTAACATGCTTACCAATGGCTAATTAATTGCCTTTGAAATTAATCTTAGCCTCCAACAAAGTTCTGACAGCATCTGAAATGTTGAGTCATAGTCCTGCGGCGTGACTGCTCCTATGACGGCCAAGTAGGGAAGAGCCAATAAGATTACAGCAACTGATGACGCAAATGTGAGTGTGTGCGTGCGTGTGTGTGTGTGAGAGAGATCCTTTTAAAATGTTGATTCTACCTTCTCTCTATTTCATACAACATTAACATCTCGTTAATTAGCCAATTATGCTAATTAATGCTACATCCATTAGTTACAATTATATTGAGTTAGCACTGAAGTATAAGCAGTCCATGAATTCCCTCTTTTACCCAGTCATGACTCCAAACACTTCAACTTCTTTTTTGTTTTCCAGGTAAAACACTGTTTTACATTAGCATAAGGGCTAGGATGGGTTTGCGCAACACCATTTAATTTTTGATTGTCTGTGGATGCCAGCTTTTGATATGATTTTTGATGTCAAAATGATTTAAATGCTGTTGATTGCCATGAAACGCTACAAATTAAATGCAATCAAAAATAAACAGGATTGTAAGATGTTGCTGCATCTTTTACATGAGCACAGGCACAGCATAGTCTGGAGCATTTGGGCATTGACAAAGTCTGACACTAATCACAAAGTCATGGTTTAACAAAAACAACAAAACAAAACAAAAAACAAAATTTGGGCATTGACAAAGTCTGACACTAATCACAAAGTCATGGTTTAACAAAAACAACAAAACAAAACAAAAAACAAAATTTGGGCATTGACAAAGTCTGACACTAATCACAAAGTCATGATTTAACAAAAACAACAAAACAAAACAAAAAACTAAATTTGGGCATTGACAAAGTCTGACACTAATCACAAAGTCATGGTTTAACAAAAACAAAACAAAACAAAACAAAAAACAAAATTTGGGCATTGACAACGTCTGACACTAATCTCAAAGTCATGGTTTAACAAACACAAAACAAAACAAAACAAAACTAAATTTGGGCACTGACAAGGTCTGACACTAATCACAAAGTCATGGCTTAACAAACAAATAAACACACACACACACACACACACACAAAACAAAACAATTGTTTTTTTTTGTTAAACCATGACACTCAGCCAAAAAAAAAAAAGCAAAGCAAAGCAAATCAAAGCAAAGCAAAGCAAAGCAAAACAAAACAAAAAAGGAGCATATGGGCATTGACCATGTCTGACACTAATCACAAAGTCATGGTTTAACAAAACAAAACACAACAACTAAAAATAACTAAAAACAAAAAAATTTAAACTAAAAACAAAACAAAAACAACAAAAAACTAAACGAAAAACAAAACAAAACAGCTTGCAATGATGCTCGACAGCAACACTATACTTCCAAAAACTTATGTTGTATAATTAATTGCATCTGACATATTTCCGAACACAAGCAAGAAGCATTTTTGTTCATGCATACTATGCATTCACGTACATTCAGTATGTTTTGGGGCTTAGTGTATTCCTCCCTGAGACACATTTTGTCTAAAGTAGCAGAAGAAACAGCTCTGAGATCAGTGGGAGAAAGGTAGACTCGACGGTCTCAGTGATGGGACACGACTGACGGCACTCAGCCAAGCGACTGGCCAGAGAAATTGCAGCCAGGGGCGAAAAGATGGTGCACCTTTGATGTGCTCGCTCTCTATGACACTCCACACTTCTGCCCTTGTGTCTCCGTCTTTCAATTTGTGTCTTCCTCCCCAGTGTCTCTTTATGATTCATCTCTCTCTTACAGAAAATGTATTTAATATAAAATCATATCAAAAGACTTTGTATTGGCTCAGTGCATTTCCGCAGCTTATGTTTGGTTGCTTTGGGAGTTTAAATGTGACTAAATGCATGTACAGAGACATTTTGTGTCGTGATTAATCTGGTCCAGTATGAGTGTGTGTGTGTGTGTGGGTGTGCATGGTGAGAGATAGACATATGGAGAAGTGTCTACAGTTTGAGAATTAAAGACGCTCCGTCTGTGAGGGAGATCGAGAAAAACAAGGCACCATTGGCTGCTTGACAACTCCATTAAATCGTCAATAGTCACACTGTGTGGGCCAGAGCAAACTGTGTATGTGTGCATGTGGTGTTTCATGAAGCAGTGACAGACTGTCCTCGCATCATTCGGAGTCACTCACATACAGCTTCTGTTATGAACGATACAACAGAAAATAACTACTGTCCCTGTGGAAAAATACAGTACTGTACAGTCACAGTTTGAAGATTAAACACACACATACATTCCTAGCAAGGGACATAGAAAATCAATCAAAGTGTGTATATTTATATATACTTTTTACTAATTTAATTTATATTAATAAATATTATATAATGACAATCTATGTATTTATGAACAAATGGATGATTCATTTATGGATGTCCCTAATCTTCTGGGGTGAAATTAAAAAGTATGGTGCAATTAATGTTGCACTATTATGATCTATGGAAACAAGTTTAAACAGAGATGTTTGTGTAAAATTGCATTGATCATAACAACAGTGATTCATCCATAAATCAAATGATGAAAAGAGTGTTATAACTGGGCGTATATCCAGATGTGTTGTGCAGTCCAAAACACTTTTTGCATTTAAAAGAAATGATTCAGGTGTCTGGATTACAGTGGTTTTGATCCATGATTGAGCCGTTGCCTGATTTAGATGATTTTTGTGATTCAGGCTATAAATTAACTCTATTAACTCATTTAATATACAGCAGGTGGGCAGGGACATGGTCTGGTCATGGTTAAAAAACAAAAAACAAACAAACAAAAAGAAATGAAAAGTGACAAAACAAACAACAACAAATAATCTTTCAGTGACCAAGTAGAGAAAGAATGGAAATGGAATCAACAGATGTCACAGAATCAGAACCTGTATATCTTTTGCTTGAGCACCAAGGCCCAATATGGTCTGAACAATGCATGCAAAAAACAGCTCCAGTGATTTCTATACATTTTTTTAAAGGTGCACTCAGTAAATTTCGCTTCATGTTGGCCAATATGGCAGTCATGTCAGATCATACTAAAGATAAAATTATCAGCAACTGATTCCATTATATTCACAGTTGACCTAGGCCACTGAAAGTCTCAGATACTTTCAAATAAAAGGCCCAAAACTAGCCCAGTAACCATAACTCAAATATCAAAACTCATGCCACTTCCATAACTAAAATACATGTTTTACAGTCATTTTTATGTTATTTTTATGTTTACTCCAACTTGAAAATCACAATATAGTAGTAATCATCTGTTTTCATAAAGGAACTCACAGGAGACTCACTACCAGGGCCCTTCTCTCACTAAAATAATCATCTAGCATAGTTTAATCATTAGTGCAATATACAATTTTTCAATACAAGCATGTCAGTCAAATATAGGGAAAAAATATGCAACCTGCAGCAACAGTTTAAAAGTAGCCCAGTTCTGCGGGAAAACCATGTGGGTTGTTGAAATAAATATATATATTGGATTTTATAATAAAATACATTACAAAAATACTATTAATTATACATATGCAGTACATATTATAAAATATACATATATTTAATATATCTAGCTGGTCATGTGATCTCAACATGGCTCCCATTAGGTGTACTGCTTAATGTTCATGATTTTACATATTTTTTCAAAATTACTATTCACATTCATTTAACTCTCTGGGTAAAAAAGTACTGAATGCACCTTTAAACAATGCTGCTGATTATATTTTATCATTCTAATTCTAATTAGCTGAAAAACGGACCGATATAGATACTCACTCTATGAAGTACACTTCTCCTTTCTCAGTGTAAGCCATCTCCCAATTATCTGGCAGAGGACCCAACTCGTCATTCTCGTCTGGTTTGGGAGGTGATTTTGGTGGTTCTGTCTCTTCTCTAGGGGCATCTGTGGAGGTTTCAGAGGGGCATGTGGTGGGCATCTCTCCTGAGGCATCCGTACTCTTGTCTTCATGTTCACTGGACTCTGAAAAAATGCAAGAAAAATAGCTTTTAACAGAAGTCTAATTCTAAACTAATGCTTTATGTAATCATTAAACTTTCACCAATATAATAATGAAAAGTTTAAACCAGTAAATGTACTTTAGGATGCTTTGCTAAACTGTTTAAACTGCAGAACGCCTCACTAAATCTATAACATTATAACAAGAGAAACTGCAGACCTACATCTCTGATTCAAACACCTCAATCAATTAAAAAGAATCAGACAGTAGAAGTGGATAAAAAAAGATGAAAACGGTGTAATATAATTCAACAGAATAATCACAAAGAGAAGCTACGCTTATAAAAAGAAGCTGTCAAATTTACAATAATCCAGCACTATATTCTGCGAGACGTCTCCAACTTTTATCGGCACGGCTGGTGAAACTCAAGAGTCCAAGACTAAAGAGAAAACTGGTGAATGTGAGCGAGACAGACAGAGAAAATATTTATAAGAGAGGGAGATGTAACTGAGATTTGGAGTTTCTGAGAGAATTGAAAAGCAGGTCACTGTAAGAGGGGCATGTTAGAAAAAAAAAAAAACTGAAGACTGTAAGAAATGATGGAAGAACAGACAGAGATGGAGTTAGCCGGACTGAGACGGTGAAATGGAGTCTGCGGTGAGAAAGCCAGAGAGAAGAAGAGAGGAAAAAAAAAAATAGAGAGCTGAACGTGTCCTAGTTTGAGTTATGGAGGTTGGAGGTCCCAAAGGAGAGATCGAGGGGAAGAGAGAGGGAGAGACGAAAGAAAAAGACACCGAATCCCATAACATTCATCAGTACTGATGTTTTAATCAACTGAAAAATGAAAGGACAGTTTCACTCAATCACACACACAAGCTCTGTTCTGAAACCTAGTGAGCTGTCTATCTAGACAACATTTAAAATCATCAAAGGCGCACAGCGTCTTTTTGCCACACTTGCCAATGGTGGATAAATTTAACCATATATATATATGAAAACCATATATATATATAGGCCACTGTAAATACAGAAACAGTACATCTAAGATGGTGCACAACAGAAATAAGGAATATTCTTATCTCATAACAATGTGTCTCCTCAGACATTTCATCAAAATTTCAAACTGTGCTCAGATATTGCAAGATACCAAAGCATGCAATGAAAAGTTAGATTTTAATAATAACTCAAACATTTCACGTAAAATCCCAAGGCCACATTATTTGAGCTATCCACATTGATAGCATAGCTTAATTATATACTCTTACTTGCTGTCAAAATGTGTCTTATTGGTTTCTATTTCTTAAAGAATTTTAAGAGAAACTTTGAAAGACCAGTGTTGGGAAAGTTACTTTGGAAATATAATAGGTTACAGATTACAATACCCTATTTAAAATGTAAGAAGTAGTGTAACTATTTCAATTACTTTATTAAAGTAATGTAACTGATTACATTCTATTTTTTATTACTTTTCTAAATTTAAATTTCTATTTTTTATCCAAAACTTTTTCTAAACTGTTAATCATTTTCAAACATGTAAACCAGGCAGGGTTAACCTTACAGTGATACTCAACACTGATTACTGTCAGACTTTCAAAATCCTTCATCACTTGAATTAAGATTATAATAATTGAATTTTAAAGCACAGCCACCACAAAATCAGACTTTAGCACCTCTTTTTACTTTGAGATCATTCTAAGGTTAAATAAGATATAGTTTAATAGCTACTGTTTTTGAAATCAAATCTTTGCATAACTATGACATGAAACACTGGCATCTAACAATGCCTTAAAAATAGTTAATTTAAAAAATAAAGCATATAAGCTACACAACATGTATAATAAAGCATATACACAAACTCCTGAAACATTGGTGTTTCACATTTTAGAGCAGTCAATGCAATTTGGGAAAGAAATGAATTAAATCTGCATGTGTGTGAAAATATTCAGATGTAACCCCCTTTTGTAATCATTAACTTTTTCATAAGTAACTGTAATTTAATTACACAGTTTTTTCTCAGTAACTGCAGCAGATTACAGTTACATTTATTTTGTAATTAAATTATGTAATTCCGTTACATTTAACTAGTTACTCCCCAACACCGTGAAAGACAAAGTTGACACTTTAGTCAATAATTGAGAACTCCATTAAAGTCAACATTAAACTCCATTTGCAACTCATTTCATGTCCATAAAGTGATGTATTTCTGAGTGAAAGAATATTTACCCACTTTTTTGACTAGGATGTAGAGGCTGAAGGGTTAGTTCACCTCAAAAATTAACATTCTGTAATTCTGTCATCAATTACACAGCATTGTGTTGTTCCAAACTCATAAGTCTTTCATTCATCTTTAAAACACAAATAAAATTCAAATATGGTAAATCTTATCTGTACATGCTTAAAGAACTTTCTCACATGTCAAGCAAGTACAGGTGAGTTTCCATTTACCATATTTGATTTGCTCTATGTACTGTATGTGCACTGAACAAATTTGACTGAGGTTTATATGTGAAAAACAGCCTAAATTAAATCTATTCAACATTTAAAGAAGACTTGGATTAAAGAGCTCAGTTCATATGGATTTCTGTTGCAATGTCTTGATGTACTTTTGGAAGCATCAAATTTGGAGTGGAAGTTCAATGGAGGTACAATTTTTTTTTTTTTGGGTTAACTATCCCATTAGGGTCCCCCACTTATTTTTGAAATCTATCTTCATTATTGCCATAAACATCACTATATCAACATTAAAACAGGCAAGAATTCAGAAAACCTTGGAAAACAATGCCTAAACAGCTATTTGGCCTTTGGTTAACATTATTTCCAGTCTAGGCAATGCTAACTGAAAGTTTCAGATTTTTTCCCTTCTTTCAAATAACATGGACTGATGAATCATGCACAATAAGACCAGGAACTTGTATTAAGAAAGCAAATAGGGTCAATTTTGATTTCATGTTGATTTCAATTTAAGTGCACTGAGCAATACATTTTCCTCTGGCAGTTCTTTATATTACTACATGTCAACAATTCTCTCACTGTGTTAGATTCTAAATCACTGTCATGCTGCTGTATTAAAGCCAGAAGAAAACAAAAGGTTTTTTCAGTACATCCAGACTTGATGCACGTTTCCGCCCCGCAGAGCCTCTCTTATGGAGTGCAAAAACAAGGAACGTGTGATAACATGCTGGCGCGACAGTTGCTAGGCTATTGCCCTGACAACAGTGGTTACTATGAGATCATTTAGAGTGGAGGCGGTTGCTATGATGATGCACCTAGTGGCCTCACGGTAATCATCTCTATGCTAGTAACCCTGATCTGAGGTCACAGCAGTAACTGGATTTACTACACTGGAGAGCCGCACATGACAAGATCTCTCTTCTTCTTAAATTGATTGAGAGCTCCTCACCTGGGGTGATGGCCACTCCGTTGCCGTTGATGACGGGCCTCTCCTCCTCTTCCTCCTCGGGCGGCTCAATGCCAGCCTTCTCCATGTTGCTGACGGACTTGTTACGTCTGCGTTTGCCCTGGGATCTGGGTGTAGCGCCTGGCAACAGCTGCTCAGCTACATTCAGCAGCAGTGGGCTGGGCTCTGCCGGGGGCTTCGGGGTGCCGTAATAGTTATCTGCAACCAATCAGACATTTGAAAGTTTATAATGTAAGCTCAGCCACCACCATGTCACAACTGGAGGAATGGAGAAAGATGCAGTTTCCTGCATGTTGTTAATCAGCCTCTCAGGCAATAAGCAAGGCACCTTTTTCTAGTGGGTGTTTACTGTAGTTATACTTTGCTTCCAGAAGTGAGCTGCATCTGCAGACACATCTTTTAGGGACTTCCGGCAACATGACATTAAAGTGATTCAAAAATAATGTTTATTAATTCTCAAAGTAAGAAAAAAAAGTATTTTTGGGGTAGTGTTAAGGTCCTTGCACACTGAGTCCGAGATTTTCGTATGCGTTTTTTCGTATTCGTCATCCTAAAAATTCGTCACGCACAGAAACCTTGCACACTGAGTCCGATGCGTATTAATGAATCCGTTGCGAAAAAATTCGCAAAACAGTACTAAATGGAGTCTTCAAGCAGTGAGGATGATTTTGTTGTCCTCTCGCTTCTTAAAAAGAAAAAAAAAAGGAAATATTGGGTCCATCCAATCCTGAGATACAGAGAGGAAGGAGAGTTCCGCCTCCTTATTAAGAAGCAGCAGGATTATCACGGGCGATTCAAAGTTTACTTCAGGATGTCAGTGGCTCAGTTTGATGCTTTGCTAGCAATACTAGGGCTACATATTAAAAAGAAGACCACCAATTACTGTGAACTCAGTGTGCAAGGATCTTCACAGTGCTTTGTGCTGCGTGACGAAGTAGATGAACTTCACAATCGCCATTCTGGATTTTGCTGTTTGCTTGTAAGGTGGCTCTGAATTGTCAAAACACCTCTCAAAATGCTTGCCACGGATGCGAAAAACGCACAAAATCGAACCCGATACAAATTTTTTTTATGACGGACGAAAGTTTCGGAGGCAGTGTGTAAACGTAATTGACACAGCGTGAGGTCGTATTTATTTTTCAACGTGCAAAAATTTCGGACTCAGTGTGCAATGGCCTTTAGGCTTGGTGTGTAGTAATTAAGATTGTAGTATTGTTTTTAACAGTAGTTAAGTTTGAAAAAAAAAGAAATTGAAATACACAGAGTATGGATCAAATGTTTAGGATTTGTAATACTTTTTCATGTTTTTGAAAGAAAAGGCTTATCTAAAATTATAGTAAACAGTGTGATAATGGTTAATTTTCTATTTTAATAACGTTGGTGCTCCCGAAAAATTTGAAAATGATTTTGCTGCTAAGTATTTTTTGTGGAAACCATGATACATTTTTTTTTTTCGGGATTCCAAAATGACGAGAAGAAAGTTCAAAAGAACACCAATTATCAATTTTGAAATATAAATCTATTTCTTTTGATCAATTACTGTATATGTATCCTACTGAATTAAAAAAAAAACGTAATTGACAATTCGCCGGGAGTTTGATTGACAGGCGATCTGACCAATCATAACGCCAAATCTGCCATTTTGTTCGACAAACAAACCAGACAGGAGAGTAGATTAACATCGGTGGACATTAACTTGAAAAACGGAGTGTATTGTAGTGTTAATTTCGTTAACGAAGACTACGACGAAAAATGTTCGTTGACGAGCTTTTTTCCCATGACTAAGACGAGACGAAGACGAGACGACAATAAGGTCAATAAACGATAACTAAGACTACATCAACATACAATTTCGTTGACGAAATAAGACGAGACTAAAAACCTCTTTTTATTTTCGTCAATAAAAGCAGACAAAATGTTATTGCAGACTGCTCTACACGCCTCTACTACGCGAGCTTTCATGAGTGCGGTTGCCAGATATCAAGAATTCCAATGCCCTAATCAGAGATTCGCTGTTAAATTCATACATTTTCTGCCTGGTGTGTTTTGCTTATTTTAAACATTTTAACCATTACACTAGATGAGGTAAAATACACCATGTATGTGTCCACATTCTATTGATTTGTGCTTACTGGTGAAAGTGCAATACCTGAAATGCAAAAGTAAATTTCTCAAATGACAACAATCATTACGATTATAATTTTGAGAATTTTTAAAAAAATTTTATCAGTTTAATCATTTTACAGAATTACGAAAATGTGACTAATATTTCAATGACTAAAAAACTTGACTAAAATGCTCATACATTTCATTGAATAAACAAAAACAGGACAAGTTTGTCTAAATATGATAACTAAAATGTACATTTGAGTAAGACTTAGACTAAATTAAAATGGCTGCCAAAATTAATACTGCTGTACGGTTAATTAATAATAATCTTATTGCTAAAATGTCAAGTTTTCATTGACTAAAACTAGACTAAAATACTTTAGATTTTCTTGGACTAAAACTAGACTAAAAAGTTGATACTTTTAGTCGACTAAAACTTGACTAAAACTAAATAGGATAAGGTTGACTAAATATGATAAAAACTAACAAGGACATTTTAGCCGGGACTAAGACTAAGACTAAAATGAAAATAGCTGACAAAATTAATCTTTCCATGGTTGAAGCAAGATACCTTCTGATGTTCATTCAGGTTTATGTTATGCTTTAACTAGTAAAGAGGAAGAGATGATCGGTTCACATGCCACTTGAACTGAGGCGCTATAGTGATCTGTCATGACACATTAAAGAGCCACAAAACAGTATTTATTCTTTGAATATCTTTAAAAAATTGACAAAATTTGAAAGTTTTTTTATTTATTTGTTTCATAACAAAAGTGACCTGCTCTGTCTTGTCTGTCGGCATGTTGTCAGTTTCCTCTTTGCTCCACAATGTATTTTTCACTGCTTGAGAACATGATTTGTGACGTGAGCACCATTGCTTGTCGGACATAGCAACAGTAACTAGTTGGGGCGGGTCTTTGCAAACTTTTTAACAGTAGTGAGTATGGAAGTATATACAGGCCTACATATACACATATAAAAAAGCAAATTTTTTAATATGGACATGTCCCTTAACCATCAATACCCTAATCTACACACATAGTAGTAATTATAATTAGCTTTATATAAAAGTAAGAATATATACAAATTTGAAAAATAAGTCTGGTATGTACTTAGATGACTAGTCAGATGACAAGGTAACCGTGAAGTGTTCATAATATCTTACTACTCTGAGTGTGGTGTTCGCATTGCTCAGTCAGTGGAAATCTTGTCTCCGCAAACAAACCAACAAAACTCAAAAGTCCATTCAGCCAAAACTCCGACACCTGTACAACACCACACACAAACTGTTGCTCAAACGACCGAGTGCTGTTCTATGTTTACAGACTGAGTGAAAGTGCCACGGCTCCCCTGGGATGAACAGGCTCTAGAGGAGAGCAGGGCATCTGGTTGAGTACGCCTTCAATTCTCCCTGGGTCACTACCTGACATGATGCTGCAGCGCGCAACAGCTGTAACTCATAAATATGGATTTAAAAACAATAACAGTAGAATAATAAACATCACACTGCTAATATTTGTATTTCTGGATCATACATTTAAGTGTTTCTTTGCATCTACTGTAAGTTGATCAAGTCTGGCATACTTCTTTCTTTCTTTCTTTCTGAAACACAATTCCATGTTAATATGAGTGTTTCTTCTGGATGTAAGTTTTTTAATTTTTTTTATAAAGAAGTCTCTAATTCCAAAATACAGTAAACAGTAATATTGCTAAATATTACTACAATAAAAATGATTTAAATATAATATATTTCAGATATATTTATAGTTATTAAAAAAGTAGATTTGACAAATAACACCTACATTTTATTAAAACAGCATTTCCAACACAGAATGCTAATAAACTCAATACATAATCTGATGCGGTGGAAATAACACTGTGGTAGGAATGCTCAAGATTAGAGGTCAACCGATTGATCGGCCGGCCGATTTTTGGCATTTTTAATTAATCGGCATCGGCCGATTTTGCTGCAAATTAGGGCGATTTATAGGCAGGCGCATCTGCGGGCAGCTAAGCGTTGTTGCGGAACGCCGGAGAATCTCTCTCTGGCTGCGTGAGACATGGGGCAACTCACACTCTGCAGTTATTTATTCAAGGGATGGAGTTGTTGGACTTTTGAAGTGAAGAAAGACTAAGCTCACAAGACCCCAGAGAATCAGATTCCCTTTAGTGTATTTTTATATCAAGTCGCCTTATGTCTGGGGAGTGAGAGCAAGTCAGACAGCTCAAGGAGGTAAATAATAGCCAATCATTTTGATAGGCTTTGGCTCTGGCGTTTAAGAATGATCATAAAAACATGTTTTCTTTAGTTCTCTTAGAGAATTATTCATTCATGTAACTTGTTCAGGCAAATTCACACCTTTTTGATGCACAACTATGACTTTTCTTGGTAAATGTGATTCCATTGCAATTTTTGCAAATGTCTTCTTACCATATAAAACTTTTATCTAGCATTTGTTATTCAACATCTCAAAATATGTTGTATAAATATAACACCTAAAAATATGTGGATATAAACCTGGCTGATGATATTTTGCTCCTAAATATGATACAGTTCTCTCTTTCAATGTAAATCTATGGGATTATTTAGCTGATTGTGCTGTTCACTAGGTTAAAATTGCTTAGAGTAGTAATAATAACACACAACACCCCAAGGAACTCCATGATTTGAGGTATCGGTCATTAGCAAATTAGCGTTAGAGCTCAATTCCATAATAGCACCGATGGAAGGGGAAAATTCTGCGGGTGATTTACTAACAATGCGCACATTAAAGAACACAGACGCAGCTAGATCATTAATACGATATTGGGACAAAAACTTGGTTGTGCAACTTGGTCAATTTACCTTCATAAGTTCCACTTTCCAGCAAAGCTCCACTTCTCTCCAATTCCACAAACCGCTCAACGGTCACAAAATTGTAGTCCACTCCTGGAACCTCTCCTTCTTTAGGCTGCCTGGTTGTACCTACAGAGAAAAGAGAAAGGCGGGAGTTAGTTCAGGTCAACGAACCCTCTAAGGGTTTGTGCCATGGGCTTAATCAGCAGCTAGAAAGTTCATCCAAAAAAAAAAAAAAAAGGGGTTTATAGCAAAGCTCAACATGAGCCAAACAGAACAGGTGCTTGGGTAACTGGTTCACTTCATTTTTACAGAGTGCCACATATGCTGTCTGACAGTCTGTTAGACACAGAAAAGAAAACGAGGAAGGAAGAAAAACTAAATGTCAGGTTTTTGAGGTTTTAGGGTGAAAATAATGACGCAACCCCATTCATACAAAATGAAACATACAACCCTGGAGAAATGGTGTTTTCCAAAAAAACTTGTTATTTTGTTGACAAAATTTCCATGAACTTCCATGAACCAAAATGTTTGTAATAATTAAGGACTTTCTATGTTTTCAAAAGACGTCTCATGCTCACAAAGGCTGCTTTTTTTTATAAAAAATACAGCAAAACGTTATTATTGTGAAATGTCATTCCAATTTACAAGAATTGTTCTCTATTTTAAAATATTTTAAAATGTGATTTATTCCTGTGAGGGCAAAGCTGAATTTTCAGCAGCCATTACTCTAGTCTTCAGTGTCAAATTATCATTCAGAAATCACTCTAATAATCATTCTCAAAAGAAGAAGAAATAATTTTATTCACCAAGGACACAGTGACAATAAAGACGTATAATGAGATTTCTATTTCAAATAAATGTGCTTCATTGAGCTTTTTGTTCATCAGCAATTATGAAAAGATGTATCAAAATGTATCTGTTTCAAAATTACAAAATATATTAAGCAGATTGTAATATTTTTACAGTAATAAATTAAATTTTAAAACATATTAAACACATACTGTTATATGATTTTAAAAAATTTATTTGAATGGTAGTGTATGATCAGACTTCATGTCCAAGTCAAGTCTTATAGTAGCACAACTATAACGTTAGTTGGCATCCAATTTACTCTTGTTATGAGACTAGAATTCAAAATACAGTTTAAACTGGACCAGGAGTGCCCGACTTCCTGCCTGGAAGTCTTTAGCGCTCCAAACGTTCTTTATTTCCTGGTTCAGGTGTATTTAATCAGGGTTGGAGGTATAATAAGGAGCATAGGAGCATATTAAGGCATCCCTAAATAGCCTAAGGTGGTATGCTGTGTCTTAGCTAGCCACAAAGCTAGTCAGGTTTGCAACTATAGTTTTAGAAGGCTTTTAAGCCCTCATTAGTTGCTCAGGGGTGCATTTCCTAAAAGCATTGTTATAGCCAATTATGGTTTCAGGTTCTGTTGAACTCTATTGGTAATGACGGAACTTGCGACCATAGCTGCTTTTGGGAATGCACCCCAGGCTAGAATACCAGCTAGCCGACCAGATGAATACGAGCTTGGTCAGGTTGGGGGACCAGCTAAACAAACCTACAACAGCTAAAAATGTGTGGTGGTAAAATGCTTAATATCCATTTTTACTACTTTAAATATTAACAGTTTCCAAGCTATGTAAAAAGAAATCAACACACACCACCCCTCACTGAGCATACAATGAGAACAGTTCAAAGTGTATGTACATTAAGCAATGGGTTAAAATGATAAACTGAAGTGTTAATATATTCCTGCGTCCTGGATGTAGCTGAGCCGTAATTAGCCAGCAAGGAGCTCCAGAGTTTGTGCTAATTGCTGCTAGCTGAGAAAACACTGGGGTATTTCTAAACTGTGCATGTTAAGGGGGCTCACTGCGGGAGTGCCAACAGTAAACACCTGAAAGACTCCAGGGTCAATGAGATGATGCTCTTTTTTTCAGTATCTATAAATTTATTCAAAAACAAATAAAAAATGCCATTTAAACATCTTCTCTGATAAGAATGTTTTTTTATTTCTTTTTGATATTTTTTTTGAAGGGCATGAAGTAAAAAATATCAGGGTGACAAAACTGTCCTGATATCATAATGAAAAAAAAAGCCTTATTATAAAGAACAAAGTTCTTGATATAAAATCGTATTAAAATTTTTGGGATATCTTTTATTAAAAGGTCAACAAGTGCCTTAAAAATATCAGATATTTATATATTAGTGCTAATATTTATATATATGAAGAGTTTGGTTCCAAAACGCGATAAACGCCATTTTTTAAAATATTGAGTTTCTGCCAAAATCAATATTGTATCTGGTCGGTATTGAAAAGTCAATTTTAAATTTTATGCAAAATGCCATATCCGCCATGTTATTCTGTCATGTTTTCTCCCTATCTTTCCAAACCGCGACAAACGCCAGTCTCCCTTCTCTGAAAGAATGCGATACATCCGCTCAACCAATCACAGCGCACCACTCCACGCATTGTAGACAGTAATGGCGGCGCTTACACCCGGCATCCTAGTTTTCCTCATCTACTTTGTACTTTGTGATCAACAAACAAACAAAAAAATGAGGGCTGCACGATAAATCGCATTTGATTGTCATGCGCATCTCGTCAGTAAAGCCGGTTCTGTGATCAGTGGTAAATCTCCAGCACGTGCCGTAGATCACTGACAAGCTACGCAACATCGCGTTCATAATCGCAAATGAATCACATTCGATTATGAACGCGATATTGCTTAGCTTGTCAGTGTAAGTGTTTTTATTAATGCCATTAATGTTTTTGTTAATACAGCGTATAGCACTAGTCAACTAAATGAATGTAACATGGCAAAGATGAATGGAAGTTGAATGTAAGGGAAATGTTATTTTGGAATTTCTGTGGTCTAATGTGATGTTGTTCATGTTCTTGTTCATTATGAAATTTTCTTTTATTGTTGTAATTAATTTATAGCATTAACAAGATGACCCATTGAATGCATTTTGGGAGTGATGACTGATTTAATGTATTTTTTGTCCAGTGCCTGCATATAAGATTAGTATTGACCAAGTTCAGAGGCTGTCATATGTGGATCAACTTACTTTGTTGCGTATTTTTAACAGTTTCAATATGAAAAATAATTTTATATTGATTCAATGGATTTATTGCATTTTTAAAAAAAAAAGTGTCATGGATTTATTTCATTTTGGGAAAAAAATAATCAGTTTTTATAATAAATCTTTGAAAATCAAAATCTGGATTTGAATTTTTAATGTTATTATAACCTAAAGATGCTATGTGAAAGTTTGAAACAGAAAATAGTGGTTTTCATCTTGCCACTTTCTTGGTAAAGGAAACACATTTTTACTCAAATCAATCAAAATGGATTTCTTTTTTGGAACCAAACTCTTCATATATATATATATATATATATATGTATGTATGTATATATATATATATTAGTGCAGTCAATCGATTAAAAACTAATTAATTGCACATTTTTGTCTGAAATTTATCACGATTAATCACAATTAATCCCATCTAATATTAAAGTTTTTCAATATATTTTTATATTGCAATAATTTCACATTCAATCTTCAAATTAATGTAGAAACAATATAAAGAAAGTATATTTTTAATATTTGTTTAATGCCACCTTTTTTCACTGAAGGCAAGTATCACTGATACCAATTGATATCTCTATGATTATTTTTCCTAATATTTATCCATTGACTATAGTCATACAACATTCAAGTATCAAGTAGACATTACAAATTGTAGCTTTATCAAGAAATATTTTATTTGATTCAACATAAAATTTATTACACAATCATTTAGGCTACAAGGGCCTAACATAAACTATGGAACATAAAAGAATATAATTTGAGAAACATCTCAGTATTTTTTGTTCATACAATGAAAGTCATTAGTAACCAAAACGGTTTTGTTACCAATTGTCTTCAAAATACCTTCTTTTATGTTCCACAAAAGAAAGGCTTGAAACAACATGAGGGTGAGTAAATGATGACATAATTTAAATTTTTCTGTCAGCAGGTGGCCTTAAATATCTTTCTGAGTCATTCATTCATTCGATTCGTTCGAACGGCTGATTCATTCAGGAATGAAGTAAATGGCTCTTTTTATGAATGGGCCTTTGAATCATTGGTTCACATGATTCGTTCAAAACGCGGATTCATTCAGAAACTAAACACTGCTGTGTTGCTCGGAGATGCACAACAATTCTGCTATGGATTTAAAGGTAATATGTTCTCTGCAAAATTGAGAAAAAACACACGATATTGTGTTTAAAATATAACACAATATCAACTTCTTATTTACTGAACTGTAGTATAAAATCACATTAAACTCGTGATATTCAGGACAAAATCAACACTCATGTAATAGCCTACTGCTCTCCCTGCTCATGTGATATCGCTTATCTAATGATATAAATATGAGTTTTGAAATATGAGAATTGAATTTTAGGGCATAACTGCATTTATGGAGTTGTTGCCCTGCATCATATTTGTCAACAGTCAACTATATGAAATGTAAGATGATGTATAGGTCTGGGGGTGGGGCCAGTGCGTTAACTGCATTAAAATATTTTAATCGCGTTATTTTTTCATAAATAATTAATTAACACGTTAAACTGACAGCCCTATACATGTATGTACAGTATGTGTGTGTATACAATAAGAATAAAAAGAATACTATAGAGAATACTATAGAAAACCAGAACATTAAAGAACTTGGCACGTGTTTTAAACTTGAATTTTTAAATATTTTTGCGGGCATTCTTATTTGTCATTGACCCTCCAAAATCTTAACAACTCTAAAGACCTTTACTCACCGCTTCCCATAAACCCCAAGTACCAGACACACAGCATCAAAAGCAAACAGCATAGAAAATTCCTGTACCCTGTATTTGTCCAAATACTGGCTGACTTGAAGCGGTGATACTCTCATCCATTAACTGACCTACCAAATACCAGTTCACAGCAATCAAAATTCAATTACAGCAGTTTAAAAACCACATCTGACAGCATAGATTCACACTCCGCTGAGACGATGGCATCAAGTGTTGCGGAGAATCCCAACAGGAGCCCTGCACAGTCATCAAGTTGTCACTAGTGTTTGAAACTCACATCATCTCTCATCATCTATCAATCAATAGCTACACAATGACAACAAGCCCCAGAGCCGGGTGTCTTTCCACTGTGATAGCCTATCATTCAGAGTTATGATGGGCATGCTAATGATAGGTCACAGGAAATACGGGCCAAATGGAATGTCTCCACTCTCACGACCCGTGTCTTCACGGGCGAGGTTTGACTGAAGACTGCACAAAGACTGCCTCATCACGACAACTAGAATATCTCACAATACCGCCGACTACCCAAGCATGTAATAACATAATGAAAAGAAATTGAATCCACTATGATTATTAAATCGCTTGCCAACATCGTCTTAAAGCTCAATTTGTTGATAAATCATACTTTAAATAAGAAAAGCAAATTGCTGGAAGATGGATCGATCTCCACGGCAGTGATTTCTTCTTGGGAGAGAGAGCTACTTTGGCAGAAAGGCTTTGTTGACGAGATGCACATCAATCTGTTTATCTTGAGCTGATACAAACTGTAGCTAGATGCTCAGAAAACACAACATTTCTAAACTGGCTTTCCAAAGAATAGCAGACATCGTCAGTGACTGTTAGCTGTGACTGTCATGTAGTAAAGACATCAATACATGGTCAATTTTAAATGGGAAAGACTGTAAAGCTACAACATTTAGCAGCAGGGGCTAACATAGGGCTGGACAATAATTCAATATCAATATGTATCGCGATATAATTTTTTTCAATAACGGTGATATGATTTTTAAACACATTTCCGATATTTCGATATACATTACCAGTTTCCCATACATTGATTTATTTGTGCCGTTTGACTTCGTTGAATAAACATGAGCACTGCACGTTTCAAAATCAAATTTTTTTTTTTTTTGGGAAAGAAATTATAGAAGTTAATACTTTTATTTAGCAAGGATGTTTAAAATTGATCAAAAGTGATGATAAAGGCATTTATAATGTTACAAAAGATTCATATCGATATCGGAATTATATCGTATCGACCGAAATTAAGAAATATATCGTGATATCAATTTTGGCCATATCGTCCAGCCCTAGGCTAACATATGCTTACTAGCCAAACACTAACTATGCGTGAGTACAATTTTATCCATGAAATCTGATGTTTTTATATGATGTTTTACGAATAATACTGTATGTAGCGCTACTGTATGTGGGGGTATGTAGTCAGAAAGCTGGAAGCACACTGTCAATAATTCTATCAACACTGAGCCATACATCTCAGTATGTCTAGATACACACAAGATAGGTCTCTTGCATTTTGTGTAGATTTTTGTGACCTACTTATTATGCAAATTGTCCATTAGTGCTTCGTTCCAAAGAGTTCATTGCATTAGGCAATGTTAATTTGTTATGGACTTTAAGAAGTTAGTGCAGATAATAGACATATATCATTGGATAATACTTAGGAAAAACAATGTACTATCCTACTTTTTACATTCCTTAAAGGGGTCATATGATAATGCTAAAAAGAACATTATTTTGTGTATTTGGTGTAATGAAATGTGTTTATGCAGTTTAAGGTTCAAAAAACACATTATTTTCCACATACTGTACATTATTGTTTCTCCTCTATGCCCCGCCTTTCTGAAACGCGTTGATTTTTACAAAGCTCATCGGTCTGAAAAGCGAGGTGTGCTCTGATTGGTCAGCTATCCAGTGCATTGTGATTGGCCGAATACCTCAAGCGTGTGACGGAAATGTTACGCCCCTTACCATACTGTGATGCCCTGTCTGGCGGGAGCCTAGTCGTGTCCTCTTTTGGAAGACCAAACAAAGTAGTTTTGCTTTCACACCGAATCACACAGCGCCTTCACGACATGGCGGCGGCGGCAACAACAAACCTACAGCGAGAATAAAAGTTATGCCTTATTTCTCTGCGTGAACATTTGGGTGGCGTTATGCAAATCTTCCCCCATCGTGATGTAGACATGTGGGGGCGTGTTAGAATGAGCCGTTTTAGGTAGGCGTGGCTGACTCTTAACTTTTATAAAGAATATCTCTTTGGATTTGAGACTTTAGTCTTTGCAACTTTACAGATCTTCTTTATGCACCAAGAGCTTGTAACACTCCAAAGAGAAAGGAAAAATTGAAATCGCATCATATGACCCCTTTAATTTGTTTTATTAAGTTTGAGCTTCTCTCTAGAGTGTTTTTTTTAAATCAAGCTTTTAACCAATTTACATCTAATTCAACTTAAGTCGGAAAGTGCCTTCCAGTTTACCAACCTCTAGAGGAAGAGAAAAAAAGATTTTTTTCTAGGGATGCACCGAAATGAAAATTCTTGGCCAAAGCCGAA